GCGCAGGCCCAGGGAGCCCCGCAGAGGCGCATGGGAACGGCCCCGCCCCTCCCCCGGCCGTCTGGGACCCTGGGGTCGAGTCCACCCCTACCTCGGACAGGAGGCTTCTCCCGCCTCCGAGCCTCAGTTTCTCTGTTTGTCCCAGAACGACAAAGCCGGCCGAGGAGAACTGATGCGGCCCGATGGGTGCGGGCCATTCAGCAGGTGGCCTGCTGCGCATTCAAGGCTTTCAGCAGACAGATGATTTTGCACGGTGGAGCTTGGCCAGCACTCTGGGAGGCCGAGGCAGGAGGATCACAAGTTTGACCCTAGTGCAGGCAACCTAGTGACTTAGCCTGACCCTGTCTCAAAATTTGAAAAAATTAAGAATGGGCTGGGGTTGGCGCTCAGTAGCCCTGGATTGGGTCCCTAGCGCTGCACCAAATTAAAAAATAAATGAATAATAAATAAATAAATATTTCTATCGCATGAGGGCAGGAGTCCCTAATTACTCTTCGGAGATGCCTAGCCCCTTCCTTTAGTGGCATTCACAGCCATGATGGTGCAAACAATAGTCCTGCTGAAATAATAAAAGGAGATCTTAGCAGGGAGTAGTGCCATGCACCTGTAGTCCCAGCTACTCCAGAGGCTGAGGCAGGAGGTTTGCTGGAGCCCAGGAGTTCAAGATCAGCCTGTTACAAAAGAAAAGAAAGAAACAAACCACAAAACCCCTAAGTAACCCCAACCACACTTAATTCGGGACGTAGACGTATGAAGTCTTGGATGAGAGCAGAAATTGTAGGTAGCCACAGTGGCATACACTTGTCATCCCAGCACTCAGGAGGCTGAGGCAGGAGGATCGCCCCAGTTTGAGGCCAACCTGAACTGCATAGTGAGACCTTGTCTGAAAAAGAATTTTTTTTTTTTTTTTTTAGTTTGAGACAGGTTGTTGCCACATTTCTCAGGCTGGGCTCAACTTTACAATCTTCCTGCCTCAGCCTCCAGAGCAGCTGGAATTACAGGGCTGTATCCCCCTTGACACGCACTCTCTGGTAGAAACAGCGCTGGGCCTCAGCACGGTGGCTTACTGCCTGTTGTGATCATACCCACTGTACAGGGGGGTAAACTGAGGCACGCAGAAGCAAGGCCTCGCCCAGGTCCCCCGGCTATGAGGTCCGATCTGAATCGGCTCCAGTGGTGACCAAGTCCTCCCTTCACCCACAGCCCCTGATCAGCCGCAACTACAAGGGCGATGTGGCCATGAGCGAGATCGACCACTTCATGCCTCTGCTCATGCAGCGCGAGGAGGAGGGCGCACTGGCCCCGCTGCTGAGTCACGGCCGTGTGCACTTCCTGTGGATCAAACACAGCAACCTCTACTGCATCCGCCCAGGTCCAGAGGCAGGGAGTCGCACAGCGCTTGGATCTGTAGCGACTTTGGCTGTGGTGGTGGGGAGAGCATAGAGATGTAGGTGTTTCCCGGGCGTAGTGGTGCATGTCTGTCATCCCAGCACTCGGGAGGCTGAGGCAGGAGCATCACAACGAGCTATAGGCCGGCCTGGGCTGCATAGTGAGCTCAAGGCCAGCCTGAACTACATACTGAGACCCTGTCTCAAATTAAAAAAAAAACAAAAAACAGACGGGGTGGTGGCACTTAAGGTCTGTAATCCTTTGGAGTTCCCAGAGTGGCACATTTTCCTTAACTGTGCTGTGCAGTGGTGGCCACCACGCTAAAGAACGCCAATGCCTCCCTGGTCTTCTCTTTCCTCTACAAGACGGTGGAGGTGGGTACCTGCCTCTCATTGGCTGGCTCTCCTGTCAGTCTTCTCATCTTCCCTGCCTCTTTCAGAGCTGCCTCTCCTGAGAGGCCTGCCCTGACTTTCCCCGTCCTGTGCTGTGCTGCGTACCAGCTGCCTGTGCCCTATGCATCCAAACCCCAGCTCCTTTGTCTCGGTAGCTCCTTTGTCTCGTTAGCTCCTTTCTCCCCCTGGGGCAGATCTCAGGAGGTCCCTGAGAAGGTGCGTGGCTGTACCTGAGCCAGAGAGCTCGCTGCTCATGGCTGTGACCTTGAACAAGCTCCCTCCCTGCTCCCTGCGCCTCCACGTGGGATGGAACAAGTCCTGCCTCGGGGTTGTTGTACATTAATGGCTGCACATGTGTCTCGAGGGCCGAGGGTTTAGCTCAGTGGTTCTGCCGCCTGCCTTGCAAGTGCGAGGACCCCAGTTAGATCCCTGGTACCAAACCGAACCAATCAAACAAACAAAAAATAAAGTGTCTCAAGCCAGAGTGGGTCTGTAACGCCAGCATTTCAGGGGAGGCTGAGACAAGAGGATCTCTGCAAATTCAAGGCCAGCCTGGGCTACGTAGTGAAAGCCTATCAAAAAGAAAAAATAGTGTCTGGAAGCTTAACATGTGCAGCAGTCCCTTGATACCCTTGGGGAATTTGTTCTAGGGCCCCTGAGATCCCCAAATCTGATTCTCAGGATCTGCACATAAAACAACAGAGGGTCTACATAGATCCTGTTCACATCTTCTAGAGTTGCAGTCATCTCTGGTGAATTACAGTGTCTGGTACAATGTAAAAGCTATCTCACTAGTCCTTAAACTGTATTGTTTAAGGGATCGTGACAAGAGTTACTCACGTTCAGTACAGAGTGCAGTTTCCTTTTCACTTTGTGGCCCTGGGTACAGAGTCCACAGCCTGGTAGGTGCAGGAGGAGTGCTCTTTCGTGGGGCGCCATCCCTAGCCTGCAGTGTTCTTTGAATATTTTTGATCTGTGATCAGGGCACAGTGGCACAGGCCAGTAATCCCAGCCCTCAAGAGGCTGAGGCAGGAGGATCCCTGGGAGTTTGAGGCCAGCCTGGGCTACATAGTGAGTTCAAAGCCTGAACTACACAGTGAGACTGCCTTGAAACAACAAGAAAAAAGAAATAAAAATATTTACCGAGTGGAACATGGTATAGATGCCTGTAATTCTAGCTATTGGAGAGGCTGAGTCAGGAAGAGTGCAAATTCAAGGACAGTCTGGGCAACTTAGCCAGACCGTCTCAACATTCAAAACAAAAAGGTCCTGGCTTCCCTAGTAATGAAAAAAAAAAAATCCTGCCAGGCAAGGTAACTGTAACCCCCACTACTCAGGAGGCTGAGGCAGGAGGATCACACGTTCTGAGGCCAGCGTGGTCAACTTAGTGAAACAATGTTGTTGGGTGGCCTATAAGCCGTGGTGCCACCCGCGTGGATGTCTGCGACCGCCCCCCCAGGTCTTCTGTGAGTACTTCAAGGAGCTGGAGGAGGAGAGCATCCGGGACAACTTCGTCATTGTGTATGAGCTGCTGGATGAGCTCATGGATTTCGGGTTCCCACAGACCACGGACAGCAAGATTCTGCAGGAGTGAGTGGGCCCCGTGGCAGGGTGCGGGGGGCCCCCAGTGGCGTCCCTGGGTCTAGCTGTCCCCGGTGCCCTCCTGCCAGGTACATCACTCAACAGAGCAACAAGCTGGAGACCGGCAAGTCGCGGGTGCCACCCACGGTCACCAATGCAGTCTCTTGGCGCTCGGAGGGCCTCAAGTACAAGAAGAACGAGGTCTTCATCGACGTCATAGAGTCCGTCAACCTGCTGGTGAGTCCCTTACAGGACACCCCGGGTCTGGAACGGGAGGGGACCCAGTGCCTGCTGACTGCCCGGCCTGTCGCCCACACAGGTCAATGCCAACGGCAGCGTCCTGCTCAGCGAGATCGTGGGCACCATCAAACTCAAGGTGTTTCTGTCCGGGATGCCAGAGCTTCGGCTGGGTCTCAACGACCGCGTACTCTTTGAGCTCACTGGCCGTAAGGTTCTGGGGGGGATCCCCTGTCTCTCGGGTACGACCGGTCCCCTGCAATTGCAGCCAGTTCTGTAGTTTTCGCGCGCCCTCTTCTGGTGACGCGCAGAACTGCAGCCGCAGGTTCACCGAGCAAATGCGTTTTCATTGTTGAGCGTTGGCTGAATCTCCGGCACTGTTCTTGTCTGGCCTCAGGCCCTGCCCTTGATATTCTCCTGGGAGGAGACACAGTCACATCGAGCTTGTTGTTCTATTTTTGCAGTACGGGGGACCAAACCCACGGCCTTATGCATGTTATGCTATGCAAGTGCTCTACCACTGAGCTCCACCCCGAGCCCCTTAGCATCGTATTGGAAGTCTGAGGCCCAGACAGGTGGAGGGGTACACACCTGTGTTCCTAGCGCTCAGGAAGCTAAGACAGGAAGATCGGGGTGAGTTTGAGGCCAGCCTGAACCGCACAGTGAGACCCTGTCTCAAAAAAACAGAAGAAAACAGGACAAAAAAGCAAGGGACCAATGAAATTAAAATACTACTAATATCAGAGAACCACAGACCTGCTAAACCCTGTCAGAAAAAGAAATGCCAAGTCTCCTGGGCAGTAAGACTGGCTGGCACTCATGGAACCGCTGCTGTGTTCAGCTCTGCAGCAAATACCTTGCAGGATAGGAGCTGACCAGCCACACAAATAATCACAGACCCAAGAATAACAGTGATAATCAATCATTCAATTGTTTCTTGTGGCTGGAAAGTGTATATATCACCGTTGAGAAAACATGCGCACCCATATAATAGGAGACTTTTTCTACATACCCAAAATTTCTAAGATAACGTCACTTTTAAAGAGTTTGTTTAGGGCCTGGGATTTAGCTCAGTAGTTCTGCCGCCTGCCCCACATGCACAAGGACCTGAGTTCAATCTCCAGTACCAAAAAGAGAAAAAGATTTTTTAAAAGTTTATTTATATCTGAAAATTTATTTAACTCCAAATGAATCTGGTTTTGGGGGGATGGGATTTTTTTTTTTTTTTTT